AAATACTCTCAGTTTTGGGTAATCTGGGAATGCCTGTACGTTTGAGTTTTTTTTTTTTTCTGACTATAAAGTTCTTGGTTCATGGGTGTTCTCCCCACCCTCCAGCAACTTGAATATGCCATCTGATGACTTTCTGGCTCTGTTGTTTCTGGTGAGCTACTGACCTTTTTATAGCTCCCACTAGGTTGCTGCTTTCCGGATTTTCTGTTTTATGTGGCTAGCACTTCTTTTTGTTTGTTTTGTTTTGTTTTGTTTTGTTTTGTTTTGTTTTGTTTTGTTTTGTTTTGTTTGAGACAGGGTTTCTCCATGTATTTGGTGCCTGTCCTGAATCTCGCTCTGTAGAACAGGCTGGCCTCGAACTCACAGAGATCCACCTGACTCTGCCTCCTGAGTGCTGGGATTAAAGGCGTGTGCCACCATGGCGTGCCCAGCCATGGCTAACACTTTTACTGTGCTGTGCTGAGTATTTAAGTTTATCCTTTTCAGTGTCTGTTAGAGATCTTGTCTGTTTAGGTTTATGTTCTAATCAGATCTGGACATTGTCAGCCATTTAGTTTTTTTACTTCATTTTTTCCCCTTTCTCTTCTTCTGGAACTCTTAATATATGTATGTTTGGGCAATTTAATGGAAGGGACTTGTTTCCCTCTTGTAGTCCAACAGGGATTTTTTAATTCTATGAGGAAACAGATTCTACTATTAGATGAATAATAAAAACTTGTTGGGAAAAAACAACCCTCAAATAATATATTAAATTATAAGGGCAGGGAGAAAAAATGACAAGGAATGATACCATTCTGAGATGACGACCTTAAACACTCTAGTCTTCATTTTTGCATAAAATACTTTTATATGCACCTTTGAGATGTACAAATGTTGAATTTTTTTCCATTTTCCCATGTGTGGTATGCTGTGGATGCACATGTGGTTGTGATTAATACAAGTGAGTGTACATGTGAGCATTTGTACCTGGCGGTCAGAGGTTAATGTCAGGAACCATCCTACGAACCTTATTCAAATAGGCAGGGTCTCTCAATCAAACACAGGCTTTCTGAATATGTCTAGTCTGGCTTGTTCTGGGGACCCTTTACCCCTGTCTTCTGAGGCTGGAATTATAGGGGAAAGGGTGTTAGGTCCAACCAGCTTTTTGTAGGTACTGAGTGGTAAATGCTCAATCAGGGATATTTTCTCAGCCCCAAGAATTTTTCTTGGCTTTTTTGTTTTGTTTGTGTGTGTGTGTGTGTGTGTGTGTGTGTGTGTGTGTGTGTGTGTGTGTATGTGTGTGTGTGTTTGTTTGTTTTGTTTTTTTGTTTTTGTTTGTTTCTTTTTTTTTTTTTTTTGAACAGGGTTTCTCTGTGTAGCCCTGGCTGTCCTGGAACTGGTTCTGTAGACCAGGCTAGCCTCAGACTCAGAGATTTCCCCCTTCCTCTGCCTCCCGAGTGCTGGGATTAAAGACATGTGCCACAATGCTTGGCTTTCTTCACTATTTTTGAAAGATTAAAAAAAAAAAAACCTTTTAATTATATGAATGCATGCTTGCCCGTGTGTTGGACATGTATGTGCACAAGAGTGCAGGCATCCACAGAGGTCAGAGGGCATCGGATCCCCAAGAGCTGGAATTTCAGGTGCCATGAGCCCCTTAACACGGGTGCTGGGAGCTGAACTCTGGGGCTCTGCAAGAGCAGTCGCTTCGCTTGGGCATCTCTGCAGCCCGGAAGCAGGAGCACAGATTTAGGTTTAGAGGAAAGTTTAGCAGGACGCAGAGACATCCCATAACCCCCTCCTTATCAAAACGCCCCCTCACCTCAAGAGCTGCACAGTGCTTCAAATAACGAACTGTCACATCACTGCCACCTAGCATGTGCCGTTCATGTTAGCGTCACTCAGAGCTGCTATCTTCTGAAGGACATTTTTGTTTTGTGACCTGTAGCTAATGTCTTAGCTGGCAAACTTGAAATTGTTGGCCCCGGCATGTCTTTCTGAGTCCAGGGGTAGAGCACAGTCCATTTTGGAGAAAGAGTTGAGGGAAGCCACCCCTAGAGATGGTATCAGAGAGGAGGAACTGGGTTTGCAGTGTGGCAGTTCTTCCCTGCCTCCGTGGGGCAGTTAGGAGGCCACAGGCCACACCCACCCTCACGGAAGGTTCGGGAACTCTTGATATTTTTCCTCATGTGTGTGAAGTCTTCAGCTTCCATTATGTCTATAAACATGCCTAGAGTATACTTTGCTATTTAAACTTCAAGAAAATTCATGGAGTTAAGGGGGTTGAGATTGATAATTCTTTTTTTTGGGGGGGGGAGGGGAGGCATGTTTCCAAGACAGGGTTTCTCTGTGTAAACAGCCCTGGCTGTCCTGGAACTTGCTCTGTAGACAAGGCTGGCTTCGAACTCAGAGATCCACCTGCCTTTCCCTTCTGAGTGCTGGGATTAAAGGAGTGGATCACCACTGCCTGGCTAGAGGTCTGACCCTTTACCTTGTATGCTAAGACATCTCTTAGCAGAAAACAAGTGACACACCACTTTCAAGATGACTGAGTCACTAGAGAAGGAAGAAATGATGTCACATCTGGCCAGTACTCCAGGCCCTAATGCCTTCAGTTGGTTGCATTAATTCATTAAAAAGATTTTTTTAAAAGATTTATTTATTATGCATACAGTGTTTTGCCTGCATGTATGCCTGCAGGCCAGAAGAGGGCACCAGATCTCATTAGAGATGGTTGTGAGTTACCATGTGGTTGCTCGGAACCGAACTCAGGACCTCTGGAAGAGCAGCTAGTGCTCTTAACCTCTGAGCCATCTCTCCAGCCCCAAGATTTTTCATTTTCAAAGTGAAATAATAATTTAATGATTCATTTTTACATTTATTTATATATTTATTTATATTGATAGAGTCTCACTCGGTAGCCCAGGCTAAGTTGAAATGAACTCTGTTGTCCACTTTGGACTTCTAGCTCAGCCTCCAGAGTGTTGGCATTACAGGTGTGAACCACCGTGCCCAGTTCATTAATTCATTCAATATATTTAGCATGTGACATATAGGTATTGTGTTAGGTGCTTCTAAAAAACAAGACAGAACTGCTGCCCTCCCGGAGTTCTCGGGGTCAATCGACCGTGTGTGCGCCTACATTCTGGTGTGCTTGATTGTCTTCTGTTACTTTCTGTTTCGGTTATTGGGAGACTGGTTCTTACTCTAGCCCAGGCTGGTCTGGAACTCATTAGGTAGTCCAGTCTGGCCTCAGGTTTATGGCAATCCTACTGCCTTACGCTTCCCGAGTCCTGGGATTAAAGGTGCATGCCATCACACCTGGCCCTTGCCTCGTTCCTAATGAATCTCTTTCCTGTATGTTTTAGTGCCAATGGTGCCCTGCTGAGGATGGGATACCGATCTACTTTTCATTTTGTATCATTAAGGGAGATGTGTTCCTCTGAAGAACTAAGATCTTCAGTTGTTTGTTGTTTCGTTTTGTTTTTCTTTCTTTTTTTGAGACAGGGTTCCTCCATTTCCTGGCTGGCCTGAATTCACTATGCAGACCAGGGCAGCCTTGACCCACCTGCCTCTGCCTCCTGAGCACTGGGATTGAAGGCGTGCATCAAAATGCCCTTGCCAATGTTTACATATTTTTTAAGTCCCATTTCTTTCTTTCTTTTTCTTTTCTTTTCTTTTTTTTTTTTGGGGGGGGGGGCTTTTCTGTAAAACTTAGCAAGTTCTGGCAAAGGGGTTCAGAGCCTAAGTGCAAACCACTGCTCTCTCCCTTCACTTCAAAATTGAGTTGTATCTCTAATTACAATGTTAACTGACTTTTATATTTGTACTTTTCTTTTTTCTGGCGCCAGGGACTGAACCCAGGGCCTTGAGTTTGCTGGGCAAGTCCTCTCTTGAGCCAAACCCCCAACCCCTGAACCTTTCTGTATTTGATTTTATTGTCTGTAGTAAGTATGCACTGTTGATAGAACCAGAGAAAATATGAAGGCGAATTTAATTTCCTCTTGTCCAGTTCCTTTGGGTCTTAGCGGGAGTGGAGTAATGTGGCTTAAACATTAACCCAAGTCAAGTTTGTTCTTGCTCCTTCTCCAGGATGTATATTCTTACCTCTGTCAGCATTAATTCCAGCCGCCCCTGCTTTCTAAGTTAATTCTGAATTAGCTCCCACAACCAAAATATTATTTAATTCTGTTCTTTTAAACATCTTTCAAACATCAGTTCCCCTTTTCTTACAGGCAAGGTCTTACAGAGAGAGCCCAGGCTAGTCTCAAAGTCACTATGTTGAAGGGGAGCCTCGAACTTCCCATCTTCCTGCTTCTATCTCAATGCTGGGATGATGCATGAGCATTGTCATGACTCGGCAGTGGGCTGGGGATCAAACCCAGGGCTTTTCATATGCTGGGCACTCAGGCTGCCAGCTGAGCTACATCCCCAACCCTTTCCCCGTTCCTCTCTCTCCTTATTCTCTCTATCCCACTTGGCCATTGCCTAAACTGGCTCTTTATCATCTCACCTATATTACACATCACCCTCCTAATTCATCTACCCACCTCCAGCTGCATTTCTGTCCAGTAAGGTCTTCTAAATCACCAGTCCCTCCTACTTAACATCCATCACTGGCTCCCCACTGTCTATCAGAGTCTGAATCAGAATGTCTCAGACACACACACTGGCTTACACACTCAGCTCTGTCTCTTATTGCTGCTCAGGAAGCGCCCTATAGTTAAGGATCCTCTGCTACCTCTGTGTTTCATGGATCTGGCTCCTTTTTATCTTAAGGGTTTGGATCTTGTTTTCCTTTTATTTTGAAAATTCCTCCTTCCTTTCCCAGACCACTATTCTCCTACTTAGAAAGTTAGGCTCAGAGTGGCCCCCCCCTCCATTCTCCCGCCCCTCTACTCCAGGCCACCTGCTCCTACTGCATCCAGAAGAAGAGCAACGGTGACAGTGGTAGCCAAGGTCTGTACGGAAAGCCTTGAAATCACGGACTTATTAAAGACAATGACCCTATTAGGCAGCCATTGCTTTAAGCTTCTTTTTATTGTGACATTTGTTCCACTGTTGCCGAATGGCTTAGTTCGCTCTCTTCAAGAGACAGTCGACTTCAGGTCCCTAGCAACTGGTTCTAAGTTCTGCAAATGTTTCTTGGGATATGATGAAATTAGCAGAATTTAACTAAGCCTTGATCGCAGGATTAGGGGGATGGGAGGTTTTACAGGCTAGTTGGAGAGACACCTGGGTTCCAGTCAGAGGCTCTGGCGTTTCTCTAGTTGCCTTTGCACTAGATGCTATCACCACCCTCCTAGTTGCTCAAGGAAATGACCTGGAGTTACCTTGTGTCTACCTTTGTTCACCTGGGTCTGTCCCCCCCCAAGTACCCTGGACTCTTTCATCTTTTATTTCCACAGCAGCTACCCCCAATGCAGGTGACTCCTACTATCTACACCATATACTTCCCCAGTGACTTCTTTATTCTCTCGTTTCTCTTTGTTCTGTCTCTGCTACTCTTCAGAGGTCGTTCTCTATAAAATAGGTAAAAAAAAAATGTAACATAACAACCCTAGATGAAAACAAACAACAAACAGTAGGCTGGGGGGCAGGTTGGCACAGGCTGTCCCAGCCGAGGCAGGTGGATTTCTGAGTTAGAGGGCAGCCAGGACTACATAGTGAGACCATGGTTCATGCCCCCCAGCCCCCCCAAAAACCCCTTTTTTCTTTTGCACTTATGAATAAGAATCCAAAACAAAACACCAGGATTGGGCTCCTGCTCAGTGATCCAACCTCAGTGTCCCCCCCCTCCCCTCAAGTGCGCTTCAGCCTTCTGCGCTCCTCAAACCAGCCAAAGTTGTTCAATATACATGGTCCTTTACACTCATTGTCCTCTGTCTAGAATGTTCTTCCTGCCTATGGCTGCAGGACTAATTCTTCCTCCTTATTTAAGTCTTAATTCAGATCACCCCAGAAAAATCACCCATGCCTTTGTCTTTACGAAAGTTAAGGGGTTGATTGTATGTAGCTTATGTCCTCAAATTCTGTTTTATGAAAACCCAGGAAAGCTTTTAAATTACTTACGGCACTATTTCACATCTTTCCCTGACCACTCTGTATTTTCTCCTAACACTTACCACTACCTGCAATTGTCTGATTATTTTTTTCCCCCACTACAAACACACACTTGCAGTCACAGCGACTGTTTGTTTGTTTGTTTGTTTGTTGAGATTGGGTCCCTTTAAATATCCCTGGTTGTTCTGGAACTCACTGTGTAGACCAGGCTGGCCTCCAGCTCACAGAGATCTGCCAGCCTCTGCCTCCTGGGTGCTGGGATCAAAGGTGTGCACCACCACACCCAGGAGTGTGTTACCCAGCTTAGTATTTGTTTTTTAACTGAATAAATGAAACAATGAAAAGGCACGGGTCTTCTTGGTGTGTAAAGGAGGTTGTTATAAGAGTCCCCACAGAGGTGAACTTCTGAGTCCCAAATGTTCTAACTCAGGAAAGGAGGAGGAAGTACAGACAGCAGAGCCCTTCCAAATGCTACTACCCAACTGTTGACAGAAGCATTAATGGCCCAGAGGAGGCAAAAACTGGGCAGATCTCTGCAGAGCCCAGCTCTAAGGTGAGCAGTGCTCTTTGCTGTGGGCAGGCATGGAACTCCTTGCTTGAAAGGTCTACAGAGCAGGTAATTCTTTAAGGGTCAGACATTTATTTAGGATATCTGACCTGGAGAGGAATGGTCAACCCGACAGAGTAGGACTGACTGCTTAGGGAAGCCCGTTTATCTGACATTGTTTCACAGGCCGACAGGGACTCTTCAGTCTTTTTCTTTTAGCTTTCTCTTTCACCTTCCTTTATCCTAAATTCACCCACATCTTCGCTTTTGAGAAGTCCGAGGCCTAAACTGTCTTATCTATGTCCTAAATTTACCCCTATCAATTTTTTTTTATTTATCCCTCAGGATGCTTTTAAAATTACTAGATTGTCCCATTACTTCCAGTGACTCATTTCTGTCTTTTCTAGTTTGTGTGTCACTAAAGGGCAGACTCAGCCAAGTAGAATTTAGACCACAGAGCGACTTATAACAGGTTTTCCGCCACTGCTTCTACCTTCTTCCTTAACGGTCGGTTTCAAGATCCCCGTTAGCGCCAGACACCCCTCGTCCCACGCTACCACGCAGGCTGCCTTTTCGGACTCTCAGGAAGTTGACTCGGTCCACTCTCAGCCACATTGGAGGAGGAGGAGGAGGAGG